TGAATAAAGGCTGATAGTTTCGAAAGAAACTGTTTGGGGCTGCGTCGGTGGGAGTAACGAAATAATTTGGATATATCAACAAAGTTGAAATGGTAAATTGGCCACCGTAACGATTACAAAAGCTGACGTTTCGAGCGTTAGCCCTTCGTCGGAGCGAAACGTCAGCTTTTGTAATCGTTACGGTGGCCAATTTATCATTTCAACTTTGTTGATATATCCAAATTGTTTCAGTAAATATTTAATTTACTTACCGTCTCCGATAAAGGTATCATCATCCAGCTTAACAAAGAGGCCAAAAAAGATAGCCATTAGTAGCCATATTATCAAGGCTTGTCTGATCTGTCTGATATGTTTCGCGAGGATACCGAGCAAGCTTTCCAAACCTTTAAGTACGCAGCAAAAGAGTGATGAAATATCATTCTTTTTCTCCAGACTTTCCAGTCTCTTTTCCAAAAGAAACACTAGCTGTTTCATTTGGTCCAACTGCTCCTGGCTGGATTGGGATTGTTGCGAAAGGTGTGAAATCTCCTTGTTGAGCACTTTAATGAGCTCTGCCACTACCTGAGCCTCGAAAATGTGCAAGTCTGAGACATTTTTAAGGTTTTCGATTTCTCTGAGCGCATTCTGTGCGTCTGAATCTGTGGCTAGCGGAGGACTCCTCAGCAAGTTTTCGATGAAGGCAAAAGCGACGATCTTCTCTGCATTGGGTAACTCAAGTCTTGGGACATGCACCCATTTGTAGTTTCGAATGTCACGGACATCTTTAATCAAAGTCTGAGGAGTGGTGAAGTGATTGCACCAGTACATTAGGTTTAAGATACCAGTGATGTCCATGTCGTCTGCACTCTTGATATCAGCATGTCCACCCAGATCAGAGAGGAAGAGTTTAGCAATTTCCCACGGACCAAGAGCTGCGTCCATCCATTTTGCTGGATCACTTTGTTTCCAGTTTGGTTTGTTTCTATGGTGGTAAGCTTCAAGTATGTTTGCCCATGGGCATGTAGTCATATCGTGGAACTCGTTTGGTCTTCTTCTCGAGACATGGACACATGTGCAGGGTCCAGGAACTGTTGCCGTTAACTTCCTCTGGAAAGCCTCCATCTCTCGCGTAATAAACGGACGAAGTCCTTGGCAAAGGACCGTCGTCAAGGCATGACCAAGAGCAAGCCAGTTTCTGTATTCTGGTTTGACGAGTTGTCCTGCTGTTCCCGGTGTGCTCGAGGACGCCATTTTCTAGCGTATTGGGACTACAGAAAGAAGAACAAGAAGAAGTATCAAAATAAGAAGAACTTTTACTCTGCTCCGTCATAAAATAGCGTTTTTCCACAGATTACAGATATATAAATATATTTCTAAAGTTTACAATTCATTGTTTTTAATTTTGAAGATGGAATAAAAGATTATTTACGTGGGCTCTAACACCGCCCGAAGCCATATGAGCGTTTAGGCCGTCGGTCGAATAGTTGCGTGACAGGTCAACTTCTCCAGACAACTCTCCTTTATGGTGGAAATACGATATAGGTCTCCACCAAGAGATTAGAAACTGCAGTTTAAAATCTCTTGGTCCAAACGGACACCAGGTAAAAGTTATTTTCTGAATTCTCATGTAGACGAAATGTATCTACCCTATAGTTTACTTGATTTATGCTCTTACTGCTAGAAAAAGACTTGAATATATTGAATATATACATCAAAGCGCGCGCATTAATATTGTGAGTATTTTTTTAGTCTTCACTGAAGAAAAGCAAATTTTCCTTCTCTAAAAACCACATTGTTTTTTTCTCTTTGAGAGTTCGATAGACTGGCCATCAGTGTGCTGCCTTGGTTTAGCTCTGGATTCGCTCTGTGCGTTTGCAATACAATAACCCACTTTGTTATAATTATAACATCTAATCATGTTACGACTGGCTACTAAATATAAGCTGTTGTAGATATCGTAACCGTGGTTACATCGCCTGGTACTTTCATGTACCTTGCGAAGGAGTGATTCTGGGAAAATTCTAACATTTATATGAATTGACCTTCTAACTGAGGCCGCAGACTAACGCCGATATTCTTTTACCAGCAACGAACTCTCATAAACGGGTTCAACCACACTGCTTTAGTTACCCCGTACCCCTTCCAAGAAGGGCGAAAGGAATTCTCTATCAATTTTAAAGCTTAGTTCATATTTAAATAGGATACCTTAAATCTCAAGAACGACTGCGTAAGAGTTTGATTTCGTCTCTAAATTGTAACCTTGTCACGAACAGCACCTTTCGGATTGTTGCTCTAGTAGAAGGCGGAAATGATATGCAGATCTCTCGAACCAGACTGCCATCGGTGCCAGCAGAGAGAGAATGAAACTGATATACTCAAGTGTCGAGATCCCTTAGGCTAAATTTATCGCGATACTACTAGCCGCTAGTAATGGCTCATGTTTGAATTATGCAAAGAAATTTGTACCAATATCATAATTTATTCCTATTCTATGTTGATAATTCTTTTTCATAAATTGTTTGATCGGTCGCACTTAATAAAGTACATGGCGGATCCCATGAAGCGTTATCAGGACTTGCTCATTTTTCTAAATAAAAAAAAATTAAAAAAGTATCTGGAATGACTCCAAATTAATAAGTCTTTAAAATAGTCAGCCATCTTAGTCGTTTATTATACTTACTCCCAAACTCAGAACTTAGCCTTAGGTATACTCCAGGAAAGAGTGAAACCCCGGCGGATTGTTCCGAATTACAAAATAGAGATTGTTCTTGAACGCTCAGTTGCATATGGTGCAAATCCGCGAGTTCTGGCAAATAATCATGTCGTAGCGATGCTATTCATAATAGCTAGGTCCAGTAGATTACAAACAGCCTATAATCTCTTGTTCAAAATTCACCCTGGGCTATGTATGATAATTACCGTAGAGAACACGCCCCTAATCAGTTCGTCTTAAAAATTCTTCAAATAGTACTTGCTTGATCATCGGAAGTTTCAGACATTTTTCCCTTATAAAAACTCATAGCAACGGCAATTCCCAGGCCTGGGTTCAGAGAGGCACATGTCGTGAAGACAGATCTATCGATCAGTAGCCCAGTGCGGCGACAATAGTAACAAGTAACAACTCAGCCACTCAAAGGTTACCTGCTTTGGTTATTTAAAAGTTACATTTCCCTGATTTATAAAACCTAGACTTAGTTTCAGATCTTTGCTTCAATAGTGGTTTCAGAAAGTTTTCTCAATACAGAGCAAGTTCCTGCGTGCTGCAAACCTACATGCACATTCTATGGAGACGGACAGCCGTTTTCTTGCAGGATAATCAACAAAATTACAAAGGAAAGACCAAGAAAGAGACGACCATAGGGGAGAAGGCCGCGACAGAGTTGCTTCGTGGCTTTTTTCTCCGTTAAAATTTTTGTTAAATACCTAATGTGAACGAGGTAAGAGCGATATGATAACAAACGAAACGGGTAGCAGAAAAATTGAGAACATTTTGCAGGTACCAGTGTTGCGGAGCTTTCAAAAGAGTGACGTTTAAAGGCCCATTTTCAACCGAGATGCCTTGCGCGTAGGCGTTTATTGATTATGCTAGCATAATTTTTGGCATAATTCGAGCAAACTGGCATAATTTCTGCCAAATAGCAATGCTAGCATAATTTGCGCATTTTGATAATTATCAGATCATTTTTGATGCCATTATTTGATAATTTTTTGTCTCTAGTCCCAAGCACTTG